TCCCATGGAGCTGAGCTCTGACACAGGAGGGAGGCAGGTTGCAGAACAATTCTAATCATTATAAGGTAAGTGCTCATTTTCCTTACAATAAGTGTTTAATTATACATGGCTGTGCACAGAGACACAAACAGGTGGTGAGGTGATAACCAAAGCAACTGTGGACATGCTTGTGCTCCATTAGAACACAGAAGAGCACTGGGGCTACTCAAAATCAAGTCTTCCTAGCTTCAGACTCACAGAATACACAGTTATCACAGATCAGCTGACACTGTAATACATTGCCTTAAGATAGTTTGCTTCAGCTGAATGATCCAAATCATACTCCTTCATGCAAAAGACATTCTGATATTTCTTTCGTGTCCAAGGGGCAGCTTCAGAGGGAATATGGAAAGCTTCATGTGCCAGTTTACATGGCAGAGCTGTAACCAACTATGCTAGGAAACACGGTATGCACCTGAAAAAGTTATCTGGTCCAAAGTCCAAGTGCAAAACTGTGTAAAGAACGGCGGCCACATACAGGCCAAGTTTTCTCCAACCAGATTTGATGAGATGGTGCTTTAAAAAGAAAAAAAAAAAGGGGGCACTAAAAAAACAACCAACCAAAAAACCCGACATGCAAATATTTTCAGATACAGTGAGGAGTCCACAGTGCTAGTGTGGACTAGTATTTGTACACTTGCCCCTGACACTGTTTGAACAGCATAAAGAAAAACTTCACATGAGTAATGCCAGTCTTGCCACAAAAAACTAATTTGCAATGTCTAGATCCAGCTTTCAAACAAAACTGACAAGTATTTATTCAACAGTAATTTCATACTATGTTTTCAACAAACAAATGTTAGTGTTTTCCTTTTGAATTTTCAGTCTTCTGGAAATGCAGCCCCTTGTAACTTGGCTGCACATCTGTACTGAGCATGAAAAGAAAATTCTTACTTAGGGCCTTTCTTATATACCAGCCATTAAGACCATTGGAAAAAACTGTGTCCTTGGTATCTTTCTCCCCTACAGAGATGGGGGATATATATAAAAAAGAACCTGGGATACCAGTTTCTTACAGTTCTTTTGGTTTGGTTTTCTTTCTCCCCCCTCCCCCCCAAGCTTCACTCCATTCTCCAGGATATCAGCTTAGATTGCTGACAACAGCATGAGGAGGGGATGGAAGACTTGCAGGCACCTGGGATTTCCTAAACGAAATCTTTGGCAACTGTGTCTTTTTATTATTTATTTCCTTATTTTTAATTCCACCCCCCTCAAGCTGTCATTCCTTAGCAGTGAAAATGAAAAGCTGCCATTTATGTGTGTACAACAATGGAGGCCTCTGCAGGCCACATGGCTCCTGCGGTTTAATTTACTTTAATTCATTTTACATTGAACCAAATGATCTTATTTGCCTTTTTTAATGGAGAGCCTTCAGCATGCAGGGTGGGAGCCAAGCCCCCCTTCCAAAGAAATTATGAGCCCAGCTGCTATTAAAACTTGTACTCAGCTTGATGTGCCCATCACAGCTCATAGGGGAGGAAGGGACATCTTTAGCCACAGGTATGCTCCTTCTCCCACAAACTCCCGCTGATTGCAGAGGTGTAAGATTGGAGTCTGATTTTGGGGTTACCTTCCATTTTCTGCTTTTCTCCCCTATTCGCAAGCTCTTCATTCCCTGCCTTCCAGCCTGATTGTAGTCTCACAGCCTCTCTTGGCACCTCTGTTTTGCAGGCTGGTTTGGAACCTGCGAAAGTCTGGGATTATTTTGTCAAATTTTCAATCTTCCCTCATTCTTTGGAGGGGTTGTTTGCAGAGATAGTCAATTTCTGAGGTATTCAAGCTTGGAGAACTCTTGCTAGTTGTATCTCCATAATATAGCAGTCCTCATGCTTCACACTTCAAGCACTCATCATGTTTACTGTTCTCTGTATTCAGATTGCAAAGACAAACCTCTTTTTCTGCCTTTCAATTTTAGTTTGGCTTTTCTCAGTTGTTAAAGCATGAACTGATACTATAAATCCAAGATGGTTCTTGATGTCATCTTAAACCAAATGCTGCCCTTCCTGTGATGGGGCCATACTAGGAATATATGACCCAGGTACCTTAGACTGGGAGAACTGAGTGCTCTAGCCCAAATTTTTCATGTGTTCACTGTCAAAATGAAAAGATGCATCTGAGGTAAGCAGAGTTTAGTACTAGTCACTATTTTCATTAGTGATCTTGATGGAACAAAGTAGGCTTATCAAATGTGCCGTTGACACTAAACTGGGAAAGGCTGTAAACACACTGGAAAGAAGGATTATAATTCAAACTCATCTTGACAGACTGGAGAAATGGTCTGGAAAACAGGGGGGACTGAAGACAGTCCAGAAGAGAATAATAAGAGCTGGAATGAATGACCTCTGAGAAAAGACTCAAAAAATTGGTGGTGTTCAGTCTACAGAGAAGACTGAGGGGAGATATAAAGAATTTGATGTGTAAAAGAAAAAGAAAAGAATCTGATCTTGCTCCAATCACAATGGATATGGAGAGGTAAGTGACTTAAGAGAAGGACGTTCAGAAGAGATGCCTCATACTAGAAAGGCTATGCAAGCATCAGTGAAAACCACATAGTACTCAGAGAAGACTAGAATCTCAAGGAACAGCATGAAAAGCCAGACTAGCTTTGCAAGTGCCTTTGAACTTCCAAAATGAGGAAAATCTGAAGGGCCTGCTCAGAGGTTGAGCACAGAATGATCAAAGTCCCTAATATGCCATCCATGGGCAAGTTTTATCATCTACTACTGACCGCCAGCAAGAAGGTACTGCAAGGAAGCTCAAGATTATATACCTCTGTCCCATTCACAGCTGTGCTGAACTCTATCCCTGGCAGTGCAGCAATCTCCACTTCAGGCCCTGTATTATGGGGAGCTAGAGGCTGCTGTTCTGCCTAGTTTTATTGGCAGAAGAATTCTCAGTATACATATATATCTTGAAAAAATGTTCTAGCTCTACTCTGTGAATTTAATTTATATTTCTCCAGCAGCTTGCTACCTGCTACCATTACGTGACAGCCATCCAGAAGTTCATAAACTACAAGCTAGGCTTCAAGCAGAAACACTACTACAAGCATATGGGGAGGAAGAGAATAACTTTATTTCTGGCAAGTATTAAGATAGCAAATAACCTGATAAGAATTTGGTCAAAGTTCATGTGCCTAAAGTGCAATAGAACCGTTCTAACTCAGAAAAAGCTTACATTTAAAAAAACTCATCTGAAAAATAAGATGTGTAGCATTGAGCTGGCCTGTAGAAGAAAGCTGGGTCATCAGGCTCAGGGAAAGAGCTCAGCTATGTGGTTACCAATTACAATTTCTATGGCATCCTGGGGTTCTCTTGGAGCTCTCCCATCCCAGTTTGATCTTGCTTAATTTGTTACACCAGATCTCATCCCTGGTTGGCTTAATGGATGCAGTGTAGAGAGGGGGATAAAAATACATCCAGATCCATAGTGGTAGGTAACAGCAGTCTCAGATGTCAAGGGACAGTGAGACCATCAACAACATCCTAAGACAAAAAGGGACTTAAAAAAAGTGAGAAATATTGCTATCCAGAAAAAGGTATTAAAAATGAAGCATCTGTGCTCTGAGTCATTATAGGCCCTTGACAGATGTGATCTTACCAGCCTCCCACTGTAGCTGCAAATAAAGACCCCTTCTCTTTCTTCTCTCCCGACAAGGATTAATGAGTACTTGGGATAGCTCTCAGACAAGCAAGCAAAGGCTGTGAACCTTTTCCAACACTGCAATTTATCTTGGGAAGACTATTCACATCACTTTTCCCTCCCTCCCCAGGCTGGATTATGCTCTGACCTAACACATTAATCTCCCAAAATAAAATAATAATAATAGAAGAAGGAAAAAAAGAGCTGGACAATTGCCAGAAATAAATTAATAACCATCTCGAATAGCCCTGCTGTGCAGGAACAAACTGCTCAACTCCCCTGCCACCCATGCCATTTGTAAGCAAAACTATTCCCAGTTTAGATATCCTCTTAAGTGCCCTGCCTGAGACTTTCAGCGATTAATGATAATATCGTACATCTATATAGTGCCTTTCACCCCAACAGCTGCCGGAAAGTTTCTTTACCAAATGCAAATTCTCGAATAGCCCTGCTGTGCAGGAACAAACTGCTCAACTCCCCTGCCACCCATGCCATTTGTAAGCAAAACTATTCCCAGTTTAGATATCCTCTTAAGTGCCCTGCCTGAGACTTTCAGCGATTAATGATAATATCGTACATCTATATAGTGCCTTTCACCCCAACAGCTGCCAGAAAGTTTCTTTACCAAATGCAAATAAAACACATTGCTACATGTGCCACTGAAATGTAGACACTACTAAGTGGAGGAAGGGGCAGCATGACAGATCTGTAAGAGTAAAAAAATTCTGAAAAGGTATTTCAAGAGAGAGAGAATGTAGTGAGAAAGTTTCAAAAGTTAGGCCTTGTGTACATATGATTTTATAAACATTTAAGTATGTTAACCATTTAGTTAAAATATTTCTTTGCCCATGGTTAGAACTGGCGCTGTCTTTTGTGGCATCAGTAGCTTCAATTTAATACTGTTACTTCTTTGACCCAAGTGGAAAGCCAAAGAGACAAGTACTTGCAATTTCTTTCCATTAAATGAAGAGATTTGTGCTTCAGAAATATCTATTTACAGAGATTACTCTGAAAACAAGACTTAGAACAAAGTCAACCAGAAAATCAGTTATGTTGCTGCTAGTATCTCTTCCTTCTCAAGCAATGCTTACCTCTCTCCCTCTCTGGACTTTAATTACTTGCTGGCATTACCAAACCCTTGCTCAGGTCTGCAGTGGCTCAAAACCCAAAACTCACTACCCAGGTGACTTTCTGCCAAAGTTTTATCAGAGATTTTATTATTTTTATTCTTCCACACATTTCATGCTGCAAACATGTTGTAAAGGTATCAGATTATCAAAGACAAACATCCATATATCAAGAAGAAAAGAGACTCTAACCTTTGACTTGACAGCTAGGATGATCTTAGGCAGGGCAACAACTAGGCATTTCAATGCAATGGTGAGGTACTTCAGTACGAAGTCTGCTATCCCCACAATCCACATCAGGTCGAAGAAGTCCAGCCTCTCAAGGTTGGGTTTCAGAAATATAAGGCTGAAAGGCATGACAACAAGGCTCAAATACCAATGAGGAGAACCTCACTTAAGCTTCTTGATACCAGCTGTATCCACTGCTGGCCAGAGAAAGCCTAGAAATTCCACTGAACTTCAGTGAAGTTCTCAAGGGCAATAGGAATAAGACATGCAAATTAGTCCCATGGTTCCTCTGGGCTTCTTGACTTTGTCCATTCTTGCCCATTTCTACTGAGGTCAGCAGGTTTGCCCACTATCAGAAAACAGGACCCAAATATGTACAAAATCTGTTCTGGAAGATTGCAATCTCCATAACCTGCAATCCACACTGTAAAAGAGCCTTTGGTCTAAGGACAGTGCCTTTAGTACACAGGCTTGCTCTGTCAGATCTGATTGTAAAAGCTTATCCTTTGAAGTGCAAGTCATCAGTAGTCATGATTCCTTGGGGAAGTCATGGCCAAGTCAAGACCACTGTGTCTTGCTCCTCTGAGGCTGGCTTGCCACAGGTAGAACTACTGCAGGGGCAGCAGTCTCTAAAGCTACTTGTGCATGTGAAACAAACTAGTGACAAAGGAAGCACTGTATTAGACATGGCAGAAAGGTCAGAACTTCAGGTGTGTCATGCTCTGACAGTGGCTTGCCACTGTTTGAAGCAGACCAAGAGCTGGGCTGTGTTAATCAGCAACTCTTACCTGAACCAAAGATCCAAAAAGGATCTTTGTTATTGACTGGGCTGAACATTTGCTCTTTAAAGAAGGGGAGTCCAGGACAGCAGAACTTCACATAGCAATGGGCAGGAGCTACTGACCTGAGCAGCAATGAGGACTGGACCCTACTCACACTGAAAAAAACAGGATTCCTCTTCAGGATATTTACCTACTAAAGCCTCATGGTAGAAAGCAAAAACTTAACATAAAAAAACCGCAAAAGTAAAATAACCAACCCAGAATGAAAAGCCTGAACGTGAATTTAAAATACTCACAACATTGGCACAGCACAACAGGTAAAAATACACCCTAAAAACAGAAACAGAATCAGAGACTTTACTACTATTCATGCACTAGAAACAAGCAAAAAGTAAATAAATCAGGAAATGAAAATAAGCCAGAAAGGAACAAAACAGAAACAGCTATTTCTAATTTCACAGGCCTGCCTCGTGAATAGTCACAGGTCCCCACACAGCAAGCAATAGGTACACTAGCCCAAGCATGACGCAGCAAGCACCACCACAACACTCGCAGGAATAGGGCTTTTCAGTGAAGCTGTTGCCCAGTCTGTTCACTGTTAATAAATCACACCCTGAACAGTTGTAGGATGGCCCCAATTTGCTGAAACCCTTTTATTTTAGATGATCTACCCTTTATTTTAAACTAGTCCCATTCATGCTTTTAACCTTAACTTTCTTCTTAGAGACACACTGTTTCCCTGTGGTGCAAACAAATTTCTTCTTAATGCTTTCACACCTTTATGCCATACCTGTTTCTTTTCTTCCACTCCCTCCCACAAGCCTTATATAGAGTATCCCATGGCTTGCCATCTCTCATTTGGACACCCCCCCACAAGTCTTCTCATCTCTCCCCCTTTCTAGAAGCATTTACATACACAGCTTTCCAATGATCAAACCCAAATACATTAGGGGCAATTCCAAAGGATAGCAGGGTTGCGGGCAGACCTTGACTCTTCCACTGCATAGACAGTATTGGTGGGAAGAAGCAGGGAAGCAATGAAATAAATGACAGAAAAAACATACCCAAGAGCTATCTAGCCATTACCCAACTGATGCATGTTACACACATTGTATTTTCAGTCTGAAGTTCTAAGTCCCCTTCAGTGGGACAAATAAAATTTTCATTGGGAAGATAATTCATACGGTTTTAGCTACTAATATCAAAACTACTTTCTCAAGTAACTAGGTTCCATATTGCTCCCTTTCTTCCTACTTACTCTACTAGCACCCCCTTGCTTAAGTTCTGTATCTTTGCTTCCTGTCATTTAATCCCTGCTTTACAATAAGCAGGGGTAGTACTGAGCCAAATCCATGGGTACTAACTGTTCTGTATTTGAGAACCACTTTAGTCAGAATTTGAAAGTGGAGGCTATCTTGATTACCCCAGACCCAAATGCCTCCAAGCCCCGAGGACACTGAAGTAAAACACTACTATTTCATCTCCAGTTTATCTCCTGTAATAGACTCAAAGCTTGATAGACTGAAGAGAACAGAAAACATTACAGGAAGAGGAAAATCAGTGGGTCAATTTCTTATCTGCTTCCAACACCTGCTCTTTATGTTCAGTCACAGTGGTCAAAATGGAAATTCGCAAGTCCCACTATAAAAAAGTATCCACCCTGCTTCGATACCTAAGAAAATTGCAAATGTGTGTGTTTCAAGCAGCAACACTGTAGTCTATCATCACACCCTGGCCCATTTAGACCCTGGTTATGTCATTTATTGGTAGGAGCATAGTCCACTGGCAGAAACGACGCACACGTTCTTTTCCTCCATTGAAAGGTATTACAAAGATGTAACAAAGACAGCAGATACCTTAAGTATGCACACTTCCTCCCAAAGTGTGGGGAAAAGTGGGCTTCCCTCTTTCCTCCCTGGCAATTATCACCTGCTTCCATCATGTACAATGTAAATTTTGCCCACCTGTTGTACAGCTGCTGAGAGCTGAATGTGTAAAGCAAGTACAAGGTGTTTCCAGTGAGAAAGGCCAGGATCCAGAAGACAACCAACACTGATCTCTTCTCCTGAGCAAGAAAAAGAAGCAGAGAAGATAAATTCAAAGTCTCAAGGGTTGCGCTGAGCCTTCAACTGCTGAAAAATGCAAGACTAACCCAGGGGACACAAATATGCAACTAAGTGTTCAGTAATTAGTTTATTTACATAGTACTAAGGCTCAGAAATAGGCTGCTAGGTAAAGACATATATAAACACAAGCAGAAATGGCTCTCACTCACTTAACCTTTTCAAATAAAGCAACTTCAGAGAAATTAATGGAAATACACTGGTGAAAATGACAGCCTTACTTGCAGAACACAATTTTCAAAGTTGGGATCTTGGGACATCTAAATTCTCCCGATATATAAAATGCCCTTCGACAAGCAGGTTAAAAAAACCAGTCAGTTCCATATATTGTACTATAATTCTGAGCTGCCACCTGTCTGGAATGACACTTCATGAAAAGGTTGTTTTACAAATAGATCCAGTCACAAGAAGGCTTAGCTAAATCAAATACAACATAACCCATCACTACATGCAGCAGATATGAATGTTATCTGAATGCATGGAGGTTCTAGAACACGCATTTTTGATTGAAGACATAATTAAAGGTCAAAAGAAGTACAAATTTTGCATTTCAAAAGACAAGGAACGTTATAGACAGAAGCTGGATGGCAGAAGACCTTGTCCTGGGTCTTGGCCCAGTGTAATTTTGGAGAGTAAATTTTACTCCTGGGAGGAAAAAAAACCCCAGCATTTTTCTTGTGAGCTGATTTATTAAAAAAATAGCTCTTTACAGCTATTCAACAGCCAGGGATGTTAGGTTGAGATTTAAAGCAGGCGGATTAATGGGCACACTGCTGGAAAGACAGAGGTGCAAAGTGCAAGGCAACAGCAATCTATTACATGATTGTGCAATTTATCTGTTCGTTCAGCATTGTATCACATTTATTCCACTGCTGCTGATTTAAGATTTAAAGCAGGCGGATTAATGGGCACACTGCTGGAAAGTGCAAAGTGCAAGGCAACAGCAATCTATTACATGATTGTGCAATTTCGTTCAGCATTGTATCATCACATTTATTCCACTGCTGCTGGTAGATCTAGTATACACTATCTATTACATGATTGTGCAATTTATCTGTTCGTTCAGCATTGTATCATCACATTTATTCCACTGCTGCTGGTAGATCTAAGTATACACTTGTGCCACCCATGTCATTTTTACAAAAAAGCAATTCTAGTCTTGTGCTTTTAGTGCTGTTGAAGAATTCTGCTGACACTGAAGATCATAAGACCTAAAAAGATCTGCTGGTTTCTTTATATTCTAAGCATATTATCAACAGAGCATTATAAAGATACCAACAAGCAATACATCTACAAAATCCTTCAGCTGAACATCTCAAAACATTATCTAAACGCTAATAAATTAAATCTCATCATTAACTAGTGAAATAGGTTTCAGCACCTCTGCTGTACATAATGGGGAAAGGCGCAGAGAAGCGCTTGAAGATGCACTGCCAGTCAATGGCAGAACCAGAAGCAGATTACAATATCCCTGACTTCTCCTCTCTTCGTTTTACCATGCCACACTTTCACAAAAAAGCAGGATGGGAACTGTGGGAGAGCATCAATGGGAAGAAGTAGGAAGAGGAAGTGAGGATTACAGCACGATACTCTTATTCTGACAGATCTGTATCCATATAACGGCATTCACCCCTACGTTGCAAAAGAAGGTTCAACACAGACATTGTTTTGTATACAAAGAGCAATGTTGCTTGGAAACATGAGTAAGATCCTGTACTCACCTTCAGAGCAACCTGTTCTCGGAGTGTTGAGTTGGCATATGCGAATGTGCTGGCCATACCAATGCACACAGCAATCCCTGCAGGGAAAGACACTGTCAAAGTATGTAAGGCTGGGCAGGAGGATCTTCAGTCCTAAGCCATTTGATGTCAGCATCTCAAGCTTAGAAAAAAATTTACTGGGTGATATTCTGGATGCACTGGGAATTAAAATATATAGGTGACTAAAACAGGGCAGTCTGGACTTGTATAAAGTTCAAATTCAAGCTAAATGAAAATGAAGCTACTGCAGTGAGCACTTGCCACCCGGCCCAATACAATGTCCTTGCCAGCCAGCCCTGTCTTAACGTCAGGTTCTGTGCTGAAGGAGAACAGAAGTGCTGCAAGTTGTGGCTGCATTGTGCAAACAGAACTCAGATAGGTGACAGTATTACAATAGCAGTTCAGCAGCTCATGGAGGACAGGGCACACTATCAAAACCATACAGGATACCAGCTCCAAAAAGCAAGATGTTGCCGACATGAATCAATACCTGTTTTGGGGAATACTGCCAGAGCTGTAAGTGGACTAAACTCAAGCATTATTGGCTTCCCTGGGATAATAATCTCAGCATACTAGTCCCAGAATGAGTAAGGATCCACATACAATTTTATAGTAAGAGGAGGATTAGATGAATAGATTTTACATGACCACTGAGGGGCTGAAAAACTCAGGTACCATTAAAGAAACCTGGATAGACATATTTTTTAGGGAACTCTGAAGATAGGACTGCAATGTGTAACTGCTGATGCTGTTTGGCTTGATTTCACAGCTACCATCCTCCTAGCTATACAACTGTCTCATCCCTCTGAGCCCCTCTGTGCTACACAGAGGCCTTTGCTAATCACGAATGTAAGCTCTCCCCATCTCTCCTAGAGAGAGGTCTGAGGGAGAAGCCTTGGAAACATCCTTAGCCCCTACAGGAATGTCAAGGAGAGATTAGGAAAAGGTACAGAACTGATCTCCCACAGGTCAGGACAGGAAACAGATGGGACTGACACAGATGAAAACAGCTTGGACTGAAAGTAGGATGAATTTATCAAATGCATTATCCCATGCATTTGAATACGTCCCCTTCGTGCTAGACTACCTCTGGACACCGTCATGTGGATAAATGTATCAGACACCACAGCATGATAAAGCTTCGTAACCACCCTCTAATACACTTACAATCCAAAAAGGATAGATGCTTACCAAGCTTATGCTGGAAACAAACTTTAGCCAGAAGGATCAAGATGAAGGGAAGTCCCTTCTGCAGCCAACTGATCACAGCTTTTAACTCTGAAAGAGCTGGGGCTGGAGTTCCAGCTTGTTCGTCACTGCCTTCCTCAGCATGCCCGTGGCGGTCCCCTCCTGCCATGTGCAGTAGAGATGAACCCCGGTGATGGCCATGGTGGAAATGATGGGACGATTGCCGGTGGTGAAATGGGGCTCCTTCCGTACGACTGGTCCCTTCCTCCCTTGGGGCTGGCATCTGAATGAATACTTCCCCACCTCCTGCTGAAGAGCCCAGAACCAAACCTGACTGGAACGGCGTGGCTGTGATGGTGCCCGATGGGATACCTGCCAGGCCTGAGAACAGCTGTTGTGGTGAGGAAGCTTCAGCCTTCAGACTTTCAAAAACTCCACTTTCATCCACGCTGGTTTCGGAACTGACTGTTTGGCTCCGGTTTCTGCAGTGGACAGAGATTAGAGAAAAGTGATTAAACAAAAACGAGTGCCACAGAACTTCTCAGTCCTTTAGCCCAATCCTGACTGTAGTCATTTAAGAGTTCCTCACACACTATCAGAATACGTAGGTCTCCAGATGACAGATGTTTTTCACTCTGTTTGCTGTTGGAAAGTCACAGTTGCAGAACTAGAGGCCAATAATCAGACTCCTAAGATAAGATCAGAGTAATTCTAAAGAACTGATCAAAATGCACCAGTTCCTTCATCTAAGGAACAGAGTTCCCAAACAGCCCCTTTACTTTTGGAGAAACCAAAGAAATAACCCATCCAATACCAAATTCAACATCTTCTATAATGATTTTAATATTTAAAGAAAAACATACAAAAAAACATGTAACTTTACACAGTGCAACCAAGACAGGTCATATTATATACAACCAAATTAATCAAGCTAACTCAAAGAAATCACCTACCCCCAAAATCTTCTGTCTTTATTTAGGGATGATTGCTACTTGCCTACTGATGAATAACACAAACAAGAGACAGAGTCAACAGGGGAAGAGAAGCGTTGAGAGCTTCTTGTGTGTCCCTGACCCAACAAATATTATACGTGAAGGATGTGCTCATGGGTCAAGAGAAATTGTTTTATTTTTATATTCTTGGCAAATTGGACATGGGTGTACCCAAATTACTGGGCACTGGGCATAATTACATCTGGCACTGATTCTTTCCTGAGCTTGTTGGATTATAGCCAGATTCCAAAAAGAAAGTCTTAAATATCTTCATCCTAATACCAAAAGAAAATATGCTTTCTTCGCCTGAACTCAGTACTGTGGTACTGAAATGACTACATGTAAAGTTTAGATGACAGGGAACAATACAGGTAACAGAACAATCATGAGGCAGTAAATGCTTGGCAGACAGCAAATACCTCTCTAACTTGCAAAAGGAGAGTAAAGAATAAATAAAGCTCAGCAAGAGGCAAAGCCCACAAATAAGGCATGTTACAGAGTCTCTCTCCATTTTAATCCTTGGAGATCTCTAACTTTAGAAATAGTGGTCACAAGCTGAGACAGCACATGCAGGCACATACAGGGCCCTTAACCCTCTCTCTCCCATGGGTTCAAAAGCCTCCCCAGGCATCTTACAAGGCACAGAGCACTGCCTTTCATCTCACTCTGGAGATAGCTTCAAACCTCTCAGGGCATACCTTCCCACTAAGTAAACTCCTAATAAGGCTTTTTATAGCTACGCCCCATTCCCAATGTCTCTCCACAGGCTCCAGCAAGGAATCAAGTCAACAAGATATTGCACACCTCTTCTTGGTTCAAAATATTCATCAACCAGATCCTGGATTTTACACCTAACATTACAATTCAGGGATGTATACACAAGACAGGGACATAATGTGACAGTACTTATGTCTGGAACATAACAAACAAATTGGGTGGAACCCAGTGTTACAGATAAAGACACAAGTATTGTTTGGAACAATACTACCAGGACACATGACTGCTTTCAGCAGGAAGGAGTTAATCAGGGACATATTTAAAAACATATAAACAAGGATGGAATTGTGAGTCTGCTGAAGTTAACAGAAGTGAAGACCAGCGGCAACAGCATTTCATTCTACAGCTAGAAAACCTTCAGCCTATGTTACTGACAACATGTATTACCCTGTTAAAAAACAGAAGCATTTATAAAAACCAATTGACATTACTCTGTTTATCTTTTGCACTCAATAATAGACACCTATTCTGAATATATTTTAACCACTCAAACAGATCCCAAAGTGCCTTACAAGTTTGTACAGACTCAAGAGAGCTCTACATTGCAGATGAGAGGATCCATACGGCACCCTATGTGCCTCTCAAGCCCCAGGCTTGCCTACTGATATAAAACGCACAGACTGCACTGAGGCTTGGGCAGCATCATGCAGAAAAAGTTGAAGATGGCTTTCTTTTCCCCTGAAATTAAGAATGGTACCATGCTAATAGTGGTCATGACATCAAGCTTCACCTCTATCTGCAAATCCACTAAGAAATACTTAGTGACTGCTTGTGATCACAATCTTTCACTTACAATCTCAGCTCAGCCAGAGCAATGAAATTTGTTAGTTCCATCTTTGTCTTAGAGTAATTAGATTAGTTTCTTCTTTAGAAAAAAAAAAAGAGTCAAGCTCTAACCCTGGGAAAGCACAAGGGAATATTTAGTACCAGAACAACAACAGTGGCAAGCATCCCTTGCTGATGTTATAATTACAGAAGTGAATTAGAGGTATTCTACTTCTAAATATCCACATACATGAAGCTAGATACAGATTCTGGGATGATGTGAAGGATCATCCAAAATCTTTATAAAATACTAAGTCATAGTAGTTGGGAGCTTCAGACCAGCAGACTTTAAAACATCTTAATAACAAGTATAAATAGCCTCTGTTCATACAGATTGATCCTTTCAGATTGATAGCACTTGGGATCCCCACAGGACTGTGCCATGAGTCGCTCTTCTAGAGCTCCAAAACGTCCTGCCTGTGCTAAGCCAACTGTCTCCATATGTGCCATACTGGATCATGAAACCTGAAACACTGTAGTTGGTAGCAGTCAATAACTGACATGAAGGAGAAAAGTAAATCTGTCTCTAAACTCTCTGAACTCAAGCAGAAAGCCTGGCCACACTACAGGCACAGGAAGTATATGCCTTTCTCACTTTTGACCTTTCATCTTCTAAAACACACCATACACTTAAATCAGAACATTCCCCTCTGGAGAGGAAAATGGAGGAAAAAAGAAGGAAAAAGATTTACCTTTCAGGAGGAACGTTGTCAGTGTTGCTGCTATGCCGTCTCTGCATTTTCCTCAAAACCTTAAAACACAACACGCTCAACATTAACGTTGCAGGTCAACAATTCCCAGTGTGACTACTAACAAAGGCCCACAGACTCAGAGGGTTGTGAAACCCGTTCAGCTAGTGACATGGCTGGCATAAATCATTTGCTTCTCTGAAAGAGCACCTCAAGCTTGCATTTGTTTCTTCGTACACTTGCGAAGAAACAACTTTCAACTGGCAAATGGAAGCACACATACACAGGTCTCCAAGCAGGGCAGGAACTAGTCAGATCCCCTTTTGCAGCATGTGGCAGTCACAAGGAGTGTACAGCTGTGTGAAGACATGTTCTGATAAAGAACTTGAGGACAACTAACAGAGTAGCTCTCGATGTGACATGTGAATCAACATACACTTTCTGGAAATGAAATCCCTTCTTCTTCTTCTGAAGAAACTTGCTTTGTAAAGCAAAACTGAGAGGGAGGAAAAAAAGAAAATGTATAAACATTTTTTATTAAAAAATACGATCAGGTCATCACAGTATTCTTTTAAATATGCAACCCATTCCTTTTAAACCACAAAAATGCCATTAGCAAACTCTGCACAATGGTCATAAATAATATGCACATATGCAAAAGATCACGTGTTCCTGCTCCACTCATTCTGGAATTGTCAGCATAAATAAAGTAAGGTCTGGAGGGGAAAATGAAAAGGCACTGAAATTGTATTAACTTCAGGAACTTTTTCTAGAACAAGGAGAGAAGTTCTTTATTTAGTTATTTAAATCTCTGCTTTCAAGTGTCTAATTTTAAGGGAACAACCTCAAACACACTACAATTTTTAAAAATAAAGTTAATTCAAAAGCAAAGAAGAACACAGAATCATCATCATCATCATCATCATCAAGGCACAGCAGAGTACCTGGCAAACAGTCTTACACTGCTTAATGTTATATTAGTTGTATAAAACCTGGGGAATGGGCTATTTTTGCAAGTGATTTGCAAGTGATTTAGAGAGACATCCTTTAAATATTGAAGTCTGATCCTACTCAGCCCTAGACTATGATAGCTACTGAATAAAATGTAAAAGGCTCTAAATACTTTTGAATATCAAAAGTTGTAACATTATTTATAACATTTCATACTGCGTGAATATATGTAAATAAATGTGTAGCCCCATATCTGTATTCTTAAAGGCACAATGGCTCTGAGAACGTTTCCTAGCTGTCTGTAAGCAGAGGTATGGAAGCTGAGAAGTAGAAAATATGGAATATTTATTTTTTCCCCTATATTTTCACCTTTTCATTCATATTCTTTACTTTCAGTGACCCACTAGCCCAGGGCAAAATTGCATCAAATTCAAATTTTATCCCTTAATAAAGCCCAAATCATGCAGTTCACAGTGCAGAAACAGACAGTTGTGTTTACCACATACACCTGCAGTAAAAGCACATGTAGTTTGCCCAGCCCTGAAGATAAGTTACAAAACAGTGAAAGAAGAAAGGGTAGAAAAAAAAATGTTAACATTTACAAAAAAGAGAAAGGCTCTTGGTTTGTAACATCCAGTCTTGAAGAACCCCATCAAGTGGGTTGAACTGAGACAACACTGGATTTGAGTCATCACTGACAGAGAACACGGAGGTTTTAATATGAGATGCCAACTTTGGACATCCCCTTGACAGTTTATATAAATAAAATTTGGCATAATCATATACGGCAGGAAAAACACAGCTTTTAACACATTTTATGGAGAGGATGCAGGAAGCCATCATGAGTACCAGAAATCTAATTCTAACCAAAGTTTTCTGATACCCTAAGTTACCAACACTCTCTTAATTACGAATTTTGATCTTGTAACTCCTAGCAGTTTTTTAATCTCTAGCTATACGTTTCAATTTTTGTTGTGTTTTCCGGGCCAAAATTTATTTTATAAGGATCTGTAAGTTTTATACAGTAAAAAATACATATTAAAGTGGTGGTTTTTTCAGATTTTTTAAAGCTGCATTTGTAGAAACAACACTCAGTACTCCAGGAATCTTTTATGCTTTCCCTGCAGTAAATGTTATTTAATCCTAACCTGACAGTCTCTCTGTCAACTTAATATGTAATATTATCCGCTTTTTAACCAAAACAGTAATTCAGGTATGATGAAAAGGCCAAGACAGGCTGAGCCATGCAGGCAGAGCTGTCCTACCTGTGAACAACTTTGGGGTCACTGCTTATAAAGAAATCCGTCCATCTTCCCATGCTACAAGCTGAGAGCTAGAGTCAGTGTGGAGATAACTCTGAAACTTGGAAGATCCTTCACTCTCTTTTACACCATGACAAGTCTACTAGATTGTAATGTGGGGTGAAATCACGTTCCAAAATGACATGCAGCTCTATGGGGGGGACACTTTTTCTTTTGGCATCAGCCATGAAGGGCACAGTGACATGAATTCTAAGTACTGAAGATGCAGGACTTCATGAGATGTAATCATTTGTTCTGCCCAGAGTCCTAGAGATTTAAGATCATTCTATCTGAATTTAAATGGACTTTGTTCCAAAAGGCACTCCGTTTCAATACTGATTGGTCCTGCCTTTTCCGGATTAGGGGTTTTCATCTTGCAACACTTGGACATCTTTTAACAGTACCTGAACAACAGGTTTAACCAGAGGTGCAAGGTGCCACAGTGGAAGAGAGGGAAGCTCAAGAGGGTGCAGACACATGGAGTCCTTCAGATAATCCAAGATGGTCCAAATTTCAAACTCATCACAGGTCCTCCAAGCTGGATGATTGTAAGGCACCTGGATCACAGTGCTCAAGCAGGCGCATCTGTAAGAAGCACATGCATAGAGTCATTTTCACCATAGCACAGCGAGTTTGACCTCTCTATCTCCTTGGGAAAGACAGAGAGGAGCAGGAACCCTTGCTGCTTCAACCCCTGCATGCGTGCATGGTCCAACAGGGCCGTTTTCCTCTGGGATTGGCACCTGCAGCCCTGCTCACTGCACAGGCACTCCCTGGGCGCCTGCTGGGCTGTACTCTGCCTTCGTTGTGTATACACACACACACACGTGTGTTTGTGTGTAATAAATAAATATATACATAAATGTATTTATATATACACGCACATATATACAACTATATATCTATAAATACAGTTATATACATACACACATATATATGTATACACACAGAGACATAGGTGAGGCCTTTTTTTTCCAGTTAGGTCGGGGAAGGAGATTCCCGCTGGAGTACGTGGCTAGATGCCCCAGCGGGGGCGGGAGCAAGC